GAAGAGGCTGTGAAGGAGACCCCTGAATATCGCTGCATGCAGTCTCAGTTCTCTGTTCTGTATAATGAGAGTCTCCAGCTGAAGGCACATCTGGATGAGGCCCGCACGCTGCTCCATGGCACCCGTGCCACACACCAGCGCCAGGTGGAACTAATTGAGGTAACAGCTCTGCTCCATCACACTAGGGAACATTGTCATCCCATCAGCTGTTGCTGCTGGGTCTCAGTGGTTCTGGGAATGCTCAGGAAACGTACATTTCTGGCATTAATTCAGTCAGTTCTGGTACCTAATATTGATGAAATAGAGCTACTTGAGGTTCACAGCTCCAAGTTCTGTTCCCTTCTTACTCCTCAGAGGGACGAGGTCAGCCTCCACAAGAAGCTACGCACAGAGGTGATTCAGCTAGAGGACACCCTGGCACAAGTCCGCAAAGAATATGAGATGTTGAGGATAGAGTTTGAACAGACACTTGCTGCCAATGAGCAAGCAGGTAGGGAGTTGTTTTGCTGTGCTTAAAACCAGACACTGCCTGCACCCCTAATGCCCATCTGGGCTACAGTGCAGTAAAGCATCTGGGTTGATTCTTTGTTCCTGTTAAATACATGTTCTGGCAGGTGTCTTATCTCAAAAAACAGAGCTCTTCATGTGTTTCATTGGGAGGCCACTTCCATATTATCTGAATTCCTTTTAGATGCTGCAAAATACATACATTTTGCTAATAATTTGATTTATGACAGAGTATTTTGCATTATTAAAATTATTTGGTGGTTGGGGAGGATTGATTTACAAGTCCAGAATGACAGCCTGGATAAGAAGGCAGTAATTTTGAAATTTCATCAGAGGAAATAAAGAAGTTATTTCTAAAGTGGCTTTTAAATCAGAGTTTGTATGTCACATGCAATGTTTCCCTTAGGAAAAAAATAAATGGGAAGTTAGGGCTGTGGTTTTGCTATGACTTACGGTTGCATGTAACACTGGCATGATTATGTTCTGCAAATGTGTCTTATTGCTGTGTTGTGTGGTGGAGTGATAATAGTCTTAATTTGTCACTTAGCTTGTTCTCCATTGAAGTTCTTGCAGAAGGTTGACAGAAGTGTGGTTTGTTACAGTTGTGTTTGTTTTTGTAGGCCCAATTAATCGGGAGATGCGTCACCTCATCAGCAGCCTCCAAAATCACAACCACCAGTTGAAGGGAGAGGTGTTGAGATACAAACGCAAACTGAGAGAGGCCCAGTCTGACTTGAGCAAGGTATCACAGCAGGATATGCCAGAAAAGAGGAGAAAGTGCTTAAGAGAAATGTCACTGTTGTCTGCAATGTTGACCTTTTTGATACGGCATGCAGGATGCAGTGTAATTTTTGATGGAGCTCTGTGCTTTACTGATGCCTTTTACCAAATGAATGGTATTCTATTGTAGCTGTGTAGTGCTCCATGAAAAGTTACAACAAGGGCATGGAAGCACAGATCTGGGAAGACAAGGGAAAAGGGGATAGGATAGATTTCTGGCTAAGAACTCAATGGTTTGTTTTCTTCTGTGTCATCTTTCTTGCTGTTCCACCACAGATCCGCTCTCGCAGTGGTAGTGCTCTCCTACAGTCCCAGTCCAGCACAGAAGACACAAAAGAGGAACCTCCAGAGATCAAGCAGGAACCTGATGATCCTTCAGCCCAAGTGTCTGTCCCCAAGGCTGCTCCTGAAGAGGTCAATGAAATGAAGACCAGGCGAGATGAAGAAGAACGGGAGCGTGAGAGACGGGAGAGGGAACGAGAGAAGGAAAAGGAGAAAGAGAGAGAGCGAGAAAAAGAGAAAGAAAAGGAAAAGGAACGAGAGCGGGAAAAGCAGAAGCAGAAGGAATCGGAGAAGGAAAGGGAGTCCAAAGAGAAGGAGAAAGGGAAGCATGAAGATGGAAGAAAGAAGGAGGCTGAAGTGATCAAGCAGCTGAAGGCTGAGCTCAAGTAAGGGTTGTACCTCTGTTTCCTATTTGCGCAGTGCCCAAACTGGGGTGTTTGCATGAAAGTACCCCTGAAGGCAAGGGAGAGTTTTCTGACACCTCGGTATCTGATTGATTGTGATTTGGTCAGTGTAGTTAGGTTTCTCCTACCACAGCCTAAAGCATCAGTTAACAAACTAGATACTGCTTGGCATGTGTCAAGGTAGTATTTGTTGCTGTCATAACAATTGTGTAAAACTTTACAGTAGCAGGTTGTTAATAGAGGAAGTAGCAATGTTCCCTCTCCTGGATTGTCACCAAAGCAGAGGTGCATGGTTTGTTGCTTAGTTTGCTGGTACATGCTTCCTCTCTGCCCCACTCTCTTGACTTTTTAATCCATGTGCCTGAACATGTTTCTTGTCAGCCTCTGTTCTACCGATTGAGGGAGGGCAACAATAACGACCCAGACACCAACGAAAAGAATAGGGTTATATTACTATTGGTGTTTTAAGATAATAGAAAAATGAGTAAGATATTCACATATAAAGTTAGTTAAGAAACCTCTAATACAAACAGCACAAACAACATAGACAATAAGAAAGGTAATGCACCTAACTGTTATTACATACAGGAAAGAATAGTGATTAAGAAATGTACATCACCAATTGCCCTCATACTTTATCGTCATCCAGATCACAGTCGCTGGGGAGCCCCTGGTTGCAGTGAGGATTTGGAGAGCCTTTCCAGGCAATTGGGAAGTCCTACGCAGTGCGCCCACTCGTAGGTGAGGTGTCCAAAGTCACTGCAAGAGGGTCCAGCTTTTATAGGCCAAATTAGCAGGCAAAAAATAACTTGCAGGTTCTTATCGTTTGTGCAGATAACACAGCAATCAAAAAGTAACTTGCAGTTTTTTGTGGTTTGTGTGGATAACACCTGCTGGTACTCCCCTCCAACCAATCGAGGCTGGGGCTTGGCCAGAGCCCAGGACCTGGGTGGGGGAGTTTCCTTATATTATAGATCCTGGCAATAGTTCCTGGGCAATTATATAACCAGTACCCATCTTATCTCTAAGATGTTTTGCAGAAGATGCCATGGCCTTGGGCAGATATGTAGCCTATACAAGGGTCATCTATAAGATGTCTTCCAGACCGCATGGCCCATGGCAGCTATATAGCCTGGGCAAAGGTTATCTGCATCTATGTTCTACATTAAGTGGTCTGATTAACTAAAACAAAGGAGCACTGTTCACAAGGAATACAGGATTCATCTGTAAGTCGACTCTGGCTTGGGCCTATTATTGAGGCCCTAGCTTTCAGCCTCCAGCCTGTATTCCTTGATGGTTTTATGTTACCAGAGTAAGATGCACTGAGGATGACTCCATATCTATGTGGCAGACAGAATATTGCTTAGACTCTCATGTTGGCTATGTAACAGCATGGCTTTCCTGCAGTATTTTCACAGTTGTCTATCTCCTTGTCTCCAGGAAAGCCCAGGAGAGCCAGAAGGAGATGAAGCTGTTGCTAGATATGTACCGCTCTGCCCCCAAAGAGCAGAGAGACAAAGTGCAGCTGATGGCAGCTGAGAAGAAGGCAAAAGCTGAGGTAAGTCTAACTTCTCTTCCCTTTTTTTCTCTCTTTTGCCTGTTACTTAAAACTTCTTTTCAGATACTCTGCGCCAGAACTGTGTTGTTTCTCTCTTCTACACTGAAGATTGTTCATCTTCTTAGCTTTGTCACGTAGAAGAGATTGGAATGGTCCAGAGATGATCAGGGAGATTCTGGAATGTCCTCCTCTGAGAAAGGATGATCCTTCTTGCCCTGTCTGAGGGACAAGGCTCCCATGTTCTCAGCTACAATTTCAGCTAGCAGCAGAGCTAAGCACGTGTCCCAGAGATACACACAGAAGACAGACACAGCCAGTCAGGCTGTTGCAGACCGGGTACTGCCTTCAAGTGCATGTACATATTGGGACTCATAAAACATAAGCGTAGACAGACATATCCCTTCCTCTTTAACTGGTGGAGGTAGAATGTGACTAGTACAGGCACAGACAACAATATCTAGAGTCAGAAGCACACACACATTCACAGATTCCTCATGTACCAGCACACCTCTCTCTCTGTTTTGTACCCCTGTGATTCCAGGCCCCTTTCACCTTCTTCACAAACAGGTTTTACCTGTAGCTAGCACTTAGTCTGTGCAGCACACATACACATGGAGTATAGAGTTAGAAAATAATGAAAAGATAGGACAGGACAGGCTGTGGTGGTTGTGCACAAGGCTGAGCCAGACAAAGTATGTACTAACTGTTTACGTTTTTACATGTGACTGGTTCCTTTTATGTCCTTCGCTGTCTAAACCCAATTTGTTCATTGTTGCTTTCCCTTCCCCTGCACATCACTCCTGGGTTTGCACAGATCTGTCAATTCCCACAGCTCTCCCAGTTCAGGATCCACCCCGATTTACAGTCTTACCAGTTACACTCTGTAACTGTAACTGTAACTTAACAGTCACACTTGCCAGTAATACTCTGTCCTACCAAAATGACATAGGATTTTCTTTTCCAGTACTTTGAAGGAAGTTTCTTCAGTGTTTCAGAGAATTGTGGCGAAAACAGGCTTTTAACAATGTTCTTGTGTTTAGTAGCATTTCTGGTTTGTCCTTGCTGTAGCTGGAAGAACTGAGGCAGAGGGTGAAAGAACTGGAAGACAAGGAAAAAAAGGAGAGTAAAAAGATGGCTGATGAGGATGCCCTCCGGAAGATCCGAGCAGTGGAGGAACAAATTGAGTACTTGCAGAAGAAGCTAGCCATGGCTAAGCAGGTGAGAAGTTTCTGACGGGTTCTGTTTTGGCTGGAGCACCTGTGTAGAAACTGCCTTCAGGCTCAGCCAGGGAAGATTACCTTAGAGAAGGGATTTCTATTTCTGTGTGGGCCAGATGTGAGGTTGGTCCTTGTTTATTGAAGGGGGAAAAATGAGCAAGCAAAAAATACCCCACAACTACCAAACGCCCCCCAACTTTAGGGTGTCACAAACCTCATGACAGGTGATGGTGGGGAGTGTTTAATAACAATTAAACATCAAATATGCAATTAAACATGGCATAGGTAAAGATCACAGAGGAGAAATGGCTGCATTAGCCATTAGGGGAGAAAGTTCCAATTTCTTCTTGAAAGTTATTATCTGTAGAGTTCGCGTAGTGAACTCATCTGGATGGTACTGGTGCGTATCTTCTTTTACAGAAAATGACTTAATCCAGTGAGAGAACGGGACCACCTCAGCAGGGCAAGCCAATGACTTGATATGCACATTTTAGAATTCAGATTCTTTTTAGTATAGAACAGCACTTTTCTGTCTTGTCAGTTCTTTAATGTTGAAGTGGCCAAAGCAAGTCTAAGGGGCTTGGCAGCCTGTTGGTTGGAAGCTGTTAAGCTGTCCACATGTAGAATTCTTGGCCTGGTATATGTGACAGCTGTTCAGCTTAGCCGCTTGAAGCTGGGAGTTGATTTCTGCCCAGCTCTGGCAATGACTGTCACAGCTGATTCTGTCAGCAGACAAGGCACAGTCTGCACAGTGCTTGTGCAGATGACCATCCCTTGTTCTACACCTCCTAATTCAGAATATCTCTGCTATGTTGCAGACTTCTGGGGAGCATATTTTTCTGGTTGTTGGGAAGATACTGTTCCCTGATAACTGAGACATATTCGTTGATCTGTACTAGGTTTGGTGTCTGAGTAGAATGTTCAGGGTCACTGTAGGGGTTTTGCCAGAGCTTGTGTTTCTTTTGCAGGAGGAGGAGGCCCTGCTGTCAGAAATGGATGTCACAGGCCAAGCCTTCGAAGACATGCAGGAGCAGAACATCCGCCTGATGCAGCAGCTGCGGGAGAAGGATGATGCCAACTTCAAGCTGATGTCAGAACGCATCAAGTCCAACCAGATCCACAAGCTGCTGAAAGAGGAGAAGGAGGAGCTGGCAGACCAGGTTTTAACACTGAAGACGCAGGTAGTGTGGGAAAAGGAGAGAGGACAATACAACTGATGAGGAAGGGAGATGTTGTGGGTTAACTCTGGTTGACAGCTCCACACAGTCACTTGCTCACTCCTCCGCTGTGGGATAGAAGAGAGAATCTGAAGGGCGAAAGTGAGAAGAGGGCTGAGTTGAGATAAAGGCCATTCAGGCGCTTAAAGGAAAGTTGTGCACACAAGCAAAACAAACAAAAAAAAGAATTCCTTCACTACTTCTGTGGCAGTCAGTACTGCCATTGACAGGAGGGCAGCACTGTATTATGCATAATTGGTACTTGACAAATGCCACAACTTTACGTCCTCCCACTTTCTCTTTTCCACCAGCTTCTATTACTGAACACAACATCATATGATATGGAATACCCCTTGGGTCAGGTGGTTCAGCTGTCCTGGCTGTGTGGCATCCCAGCTTCTTGTGCACCCTCAGCCAATTTGCTGGCAGGCTGTGTAAGACACAGAAGGTAGTGCTCAGCAATTAGTAAAACAGTAGTGTGTTACTGGCACTATTTTGCTGCCAAATGTGAAATAGACCATCATGTGAGCTGCTATGAAGAGAACTGTATCCCCACCAAAATCAGTACAGGAGGGTATATGCCCCTAATCAACCTAGGAATAGTGTGTCAGACTTCAAAGGGACCTGTCTTAGTAAGAAACTGTGACTGCTGTATAAGCATAAAATGTTCTACAGGTTCATTGCTATGGAGAACAGATGGGAGAAGGAAGGTGGGTAGTCATGTTGCCGTTGTAGTGGTACTTCCACATGTATGTTCTACCTATACCTTTATATATGGGTAAAAAGTAGGAGGAGTTGGAAACCACAGGTCATAGGTTTCTACCTGAACCATCTCAGACATGAGTACAGGCTGGGAGTAGAAGTCATTGAGAAGGTTCCTGCAGAGGGGGACTTGAGGATTCTCGTGGATTAATAAACGAGCCAGCAGTGTGTGCTCTGACATCCTGTGGGCTGTCAGGGAATCTCAGCTCCAGCACCTGGAGTACCTCCTCCCCCTCCTCCTCCAGTGACCTTAGTGTCTGCATAGTTGTTCCTCTCACATTTTCTTACTCCTTTCTTCTCTGGCTGCAATTACATCTGCACAATAACTTTTTCCTTCCTAAATATGTTACCACAGAGGTGTTACTACCATCACTGATTGGCTCAGCCTTGGCCAGTGGTGGGTCCATCCTGGAGCCACTGGAATTGGCTCTGCTGGACATGGAGAAGCATCCAGTAGTTTGTCACAGAAGCCAACCCTGTGGACACCCCACTTCTAAAACCTAGCCACACAATTAAAAATAACCCCATGCAGAGGGCTGGGGTTATTCAGCAAGGAGAAGAGAAGGCTCCAGGAAGACCTTATTGCAGTCTGGCAGTACCTGAAGGGGCTTACAAAGAGGAGGGAGAGGGACTTTTTATACAGGCAGATGACAGGACAAGGGGCAATGGTTTTAAGATGACAGAAGGCAGGTTTAGATTAGATGTTAAGAAGAAATTCTTTACTCAGAGGGTCGTGAGGCACTGGCACACGTTGCCCAGATTGGTTGTGGATGCCCTAACCATTGAAGTGTTCAAGGTTCAGGACCAGTTTGGATGGTCTAATGGAAGTTGTCCATGCCCATGGCACGTGGAGGTTGGAACCAGATGATCTTTAAGGTCCCTTTCAATCCAGACCGTTCTATGATTCTGTATTCTGCCATCCTTGGAACCAAGGTGGAACTGTTCACTGCTTTGCAGCTATTCTTTTAGCCACAGTCCAAAAATGAAGACATCTTTATTGCAAATATTTGATTGCTAAGTTATAAAGTGTTCGCTCAAGAGATCTGGATACAGCTTAGACTGCTGGTGCCTGGCTATTCAGGGAGAAGGCGGCAAGCAGAAGAGGTACTCCTTAGTGATGGGGAGACAGGGATTGTTTTAGTGACAACTCTAAAGACCCACAGAGTATGTATTTCATTCCTTCCATACCTTCCCTCTCCCTTTCCAAGGTGGATGCCCAGCTGCAGGTTGTACGTAAGTTGGAGGAGAAAGAGCACTTACTGCAAAGCAGTATTGGAACAGGAGAGAAGGAGTTAGGCCTGCGAACACAGGCCCTGGAAATGAACAAGCGCAAGGTGAGTGATGGCCTCATTCCCTCGTGAATTGTCACATGCAGTTGTTGTCTTGTGGGAGGCATAGAAGGCTCTGAGCTTTCATTATTTCCTGGTTTTGGACTAGTATACCAGAAGACTGAGGGATCCTGAAGGGAATTCTGATTATTGTACACAGATTTTTCCTTCGATAAGGAGGTCGTAGATATTTCTGTGACAGCCTGATCAGGGAAGTAAGGGACCTCTATAGGAAACCTATCACGAAAGAAGAGGCAGCAGCCAGATGAGGTTAACCGGGGTCAACGCTTTTATGGGAAAGATGTGATAAGTTACAGGAAACTATGACTGGGGAGCTTCAAGACTTTTTAGCAAATGCCTGGGATCAATAAAGTAGGTCTGTTACCAGTAAAATGAGTCTAAGTCTTATGGTTGATGCTGCTTTTATTGTTAACATTTGAGTAAAAATGTAGGAGTGACATTAAAACAGGCAGAAAGGAAAGCAGAAATATCAATGTGAAGAGGAGCTGGGGGAAATCAAGCACAGTCACTTGTGCTTAGTATGGTAGTCTGTGGTATTAAGGGAGCTTCGTTAGAAGATTCATTGGTTCAGGGACAGGTTATAGGAGAAGTGATGAAGAGAGAAAATGGCTAAAAATAAGTATCTTGCAGTTGTATCT